GAACTAAAGCTCAAAGCACTAAACTTTCTCTTCGTTTTTACATCCCTCCCTCAAAGGTTAGATAGCTTTCCTCCTCCTCCTCACCCTACTTCCCTCCATTTGCTGTTATTCCCTCACCAGAGGTGCTAAGGAACAATAAAATATCTAAAAGGCAACAGAGTTAGAACTTTCCATAGGAAATTCAGACCCAAGAGCCAGGCCCTGTGCCTCCTGCATTTCTTAGCAGAGCACTGACATCAGGAGGTTCCTTCTAGAGAAGCAACTGTAGCCTCCAAGAATTTTCCCTAAACTAGTGCCAGTCCCATCCTGACCTCCACCACCTTTCTGGATCTTTTGTTCTCCATGGTTTTTTGTTTTCTTTTAATCCATAAAACCCCAAAGTGCTGAGTGGTTCATCCTACAGACTCAGAGGACACACATGCAATTCTCTACTAGGACAGATAACATTCTTGATTTGAACGTAAGTCTTCTCCACCTGATGATCCTCTGAGGGATCCTTCTGTATCTCTTTCATTTCCATATACCTAACATCTAGAGAAGGAACCTCAATTTCCTTTTAGATGAGTAAATTACTCGTTAAACTCAAGTTGATTCTCAGGGGCTTAACTTATACCCAGAAGCTCTAGTTTAAACTGGTTCTCCACCCTCCAGAGAAAGGAGCCAAAACCTGAAATCTGATCCTTCCCCTTGTTGGTGAAAGTGGTATAGTAAGGAGAGGAAGACAGAGCAACAGTAACACGACCCCTTCCTGACACCAACTCAAGAGACAATCCCAAAATTCAGTTATGAGGATTTTCCATGTAGAGAGCAATGATGGTGTATCTGGGGATTGGCTACAAGACTCTGGGGAGAGCTTCAACTGCACAAACTAGCTGTGGACCATGGAATGCTTGCTCAGCTAATTAGCACCTGCTGCTTACAGTGACCATTCATCCAACAGACTGGCCATGAACGAGATGATAGTATCAGCGGGTTCATGCCCCAGAGAGCTTTGCTCATCATAACATGAGCTACATCCTGTTCAGGAACCATTCCTTTTGTTGAAGAAACATTGCAATGTAATATGACAAACATTTCTCCATCACCAGTGGGGATTTGCCTAGAATCATCTGCACAAAAGTGGCAATATTTTGTACTAATCATGTACTGGAAAGGGCAAGAAATTACTGAAAACTAGACTCACTTGAGTTATCCTGGCACATCTCTGTCATATCTGCCTGCTCTCTATACACCTCAAACGCCTCCTCCGATGGCTGGCTTTCATTGTTCAAATTCCGCCCCCTTCTGCACAAGGTGGAATTACCTGTTTATAATACCAGCGATTACTACGTACCCTGGAACTGGATAGAGTGAGCTCCAAGTATGCATGTCTAGTTTAGAGAGTCAAATTCTGCTCCCACTTCCTATCTAAATCATGCATCTTAGCCTTTGGAAGTTGGGAATGGCAGCTAGAGGAAAGCAAGTCACATCACTCTGGCTGATGTGAGGGGAGCCTAGCTCTGGAAATTCCGCACAAACTCAGAAAGAGAATGGTACATCCCCACCTCCCACACGTCCACCTCATCTGTTCTGTTGAACATGCACAAACAAGACACAGCAGTTTAGCTACTGAAAGAGTGAGTAATGGGCTTCTAGGAAACAGGCTGCTAGTGGCTAAGAAGAGCTCACGAGGATGCCCCGATAGAACCAAAGGAGGAAGGAGAAAACCATGTGCTCCACTTGATCAGCATTCATGAGGTTATGGCTTTAGAAGAGCCAACACCTTGATCCTACTCACCTAGGCCTCTGAAAAAGCACAGCAAGATCCTTACCTACAATCAGTGGCCACCATAGCCACAGTTGCTGGTGTTACCTAGGAATCTTTTGGGGATCTAGTCTCACTTCCTCTGTGTCCTTTGTCTGCATACTCCTCTGATCCAGAAAAATTCCTGGGTTTGATTCATACAATCAGACCTACTCCTTCAGACTTCCTGTCAAAACTGTGAAAGAATTTTGCTTCTCTTTCAAAGCTGTTCTTCTAGTCTCATAGTCTAACTGTAGCTATGGAGAAGCTGACAGAACCTGTTTCCATAAAACAAACACAATCCCTCCCAGTTACTGGTATAAGTCAGTGTATTTTCAGCCCAAGACTCTTCTGGCATCTGATCTGAAGGGGGAGGCAGCACGGAAAGAACCTTGGACTTGCTATCAGAAGAGCCACCACTCACTGGCTGTGAAACCACAGGCGGGTTACTTCACTTCTCTGCACCTCACTCTCCTCAATTTCTGAAAGAGATTCATTCTCTTAACCTGTAAATATCTCCTAGAGGATGAAGAGAAATGGTACTGTGGAGAGTGACATGAAACATGAACACACGAAGCCCGTGAGGGCAATATTGCTGCTGCGGCCACTCTTCAGCAGTGCCGAGTATAACTTCTCTCTCCCTCTTAGTGTTATTTCTCATGCCTCAAAGTCAGTTTCCTTCCCTTCCCAACATCTCAGAACTCAGCCTTCCTCTTTTCCCTCACTGTTAAGCCTCAGCACAAGCCCTTTACTTTCCTCCCGTACATCTCCTGGGCCAGAGTTTTCTCTTCCTGGATGGCCACTTTATTACACCCTCTTCTATTATTAAAGCTCCATACCCACAGTAAGAATGCTTGCTCAGTACTCTGTATGGCCTTTGGAAGCTCCGGTCTGTCTTCTGGAGTGCTGTGATGTAGGCTGTCCTCTGATGAAACTATAGTTTTTATGGTGTTACATCATCTCTATAGAAACTGCGTTCTTTCTCCATTATTAGCCTGTTTCCTCATCTGTAAAGCTAAAAATACTTACCTCACAGTCTGGCTGTAAGGATTATTTTAGTCAGGTATGCAAAAAGCTCAGCATTGGGTTTGGCCTGCTCAAAGTGCCCAGCAAAAGAAAGCTATTATCTTGGTCTTTGTACTGAATTTTGTGTACCTTCGGCTGCCACAGTCCAGTTTTCCCAACTCTCCCCATCAAATAATGTTGAGCTAGCCAGCAGTCTCTACAGCAAGGAAAGGGTTAATCTCTGAGTGTTCTTAACTAAAGAGACCCACAGAGGATTAACAGCTCCACTTCAGTGACTACCCTAAAATAGCTTTTATCCTTCCTGCCCAAGAGCTACTTGGGGATCTGAAGAACTCAATTCAACACCTGCCTAGGAGGAAACACACCCAGAAAGGTTCTTGGAGGTGGAATCTTCCCTCAAAAGAACTTAAAATAGCAACTGGGAAATTATAAATAGTGTTAGAAGGGGGAAAAAAAAAACAGGCCTTGACCTGGGCAACAGAAACAAATCCAAAGGCACACTGGTCGGCTGGAAAACAGCAAGAAGGGAATGAGGAATGGGAATAGCTGCCCACTTCCCGAGGCCAGCGCACACACAACACTCCGGAATGGTGGGAGAATTAAATTACAGGGAGGCCTGAGAGTCTCAATGACTTGCATCATTCCAAGAAACATCAAACAGGATTAACAGGGGTAGGATTTACTCTCGGGCTGCTAGTTCTTCTGTCAGTGTAGATGGGCCTCTTTGGAGTCCCTTTGATTCCCTATTTCCTCAGATTCCCGCTGCCTCCCACCCCTGGGGAGGCCTTGAGCAAATGGCTGCAACTCACTCCAGCTTCATTTTCACCTACCCGCCCCCCCCTTCCCCCCAGCCGCCTTTCCTTGAGAGAAGAGGGTTAGAAACCCAAGGCCAGACTTATCACGGCTCCAGGCTGACAGGTGGAAAAACACACAAGCCAGGAGTCAGGGTATGCTTGCAGGTGAAAGCACCAACTCGCCGCCGCAGCAGCCAGGACCCCTTCCCCTTCTGTCCCAGGGTAGTCCACAGCATGGAGCTGGAGTTGTAAGAAAACAGTCCGGCCCTCAGGCCAGCCGCTAGATCACCCCATTTTGTGGTGTGAAATGTTAAATCCCCCCTACGATTGGAAGGTGGGAATGGAGAATGGGGGGAAAAGACGAGAATTCAGAAAGCAGTCTAGATAGGGTCAGTCGAGACGGGAAGAGCAAGCATGCACGGTAAAGAATCATGAACACACTATTTGGGTCTCCAAGAGACCACCGCGAGAAAGAGGCAGGGAGGTTCTAAAGGTCGGAAGAGGCTGGGGGTGGCGGTGCTGGAGACTCCGAGTGAGTTTCAAGAAAGTCGAGAAATGAGACCCTCGCGATGGAAAAAGGTCTGCAGTTCACTCAATATGGTCACCGGGGAGGCAACTACAGGTAGGACCTCATTTGGGGTTCTTCATTGAGACCGAGGTATTGGCGAGAAGCCCCGGAGTAAGTTTATGAAAGTCTGGAAAACGAAAGAGCGGAGAGAGGACTCTTTGGAGCAGGAAAGGGGTTATGTGGGTCGGGGTAGGCGTGTCCGAGGGAGGGAGCAGGTGCAGCTTATCTATGCCCCCCAGACCGCGATCCCAAGGAAGGACAGCAGCGTGTTATCTGGGTCTCCAGGGAGTCGGGGGGGGGGGTCGACAGCGGGGGACCCTCAGGGCTGAGTCTCCAAGTCTAGGAATGGAGTGAGCCTAAGGGCTTCTTCCGGTCCCCCGGGCACAAGTCTGAGGTCCGGGGAGCGTTTTCGTCACCACGGGGCCTATCCGGGGCCCGGCTGGCGCAGAGGGGGCCCCCCGTCAGGGGTGTGGGCGACCGCGCTGGGCGGCCCGTGGTGAGGGGCGCCGCCGCTCCGAGTGCCGGGCGTGTAGGCACAGCGCGACGGCCTCCCGCCCCGCTCCCCACCATCCCCCAGGACCCTCGCCGGCACTCACTGCGCTCGGGACCCCGCGCTGCGGGCCGGGCCGCGCTCGGGCTCCGCCAGGCCCGCTCAGGCCCCGGTAGTGGCGGCGGTCGGGCCATTGTGCGGTGCATTGTGGGAGCCGCGCGAGCGGGCGCTCGGGTCGTGGAGGGGGCGGTGCCGCGGGCTCTCTATGGTCCCGCCCGCCCGCGGGCTAGAGCGGCCCAGCCGGCGCGCGGGCGGCGCGCGGGGAGCGTCGGGAGCGGGGCGGCCACTCGCGCCTCTGCTTTTTTTTTTCCTCTCCCCCCCCCTCCCCGCCTCCCAGCCGCGACGCTCTGGGGCTCCGCCGCCGACATGGGCGCCGCCGCGTGGGCACCGCCACACCTGCTGCTGCTGCGGGCGTCTCTCCTGCTGCTGCTGCTGCCGCCGCTGCCGCTCCGGGGGCAGGCGGCGGGCTCCTGGGACCTGGCCGGTTACCTGCTCTACTGTCCCTGCATGGGTAAGGCCTCCCGAGCCCCCTGCTCAAATGGAGAAACTGAGGCCCGGGAGGCAGAGCCACTTTTGCGAGGCGCCTACTGACGCCTCGTCAGGTCCAGGAGAGACCTCCGGAGCGGGGCAGGGCATGCTCTTCGCTGCCCTAGTTGCATGGGTACAGAGGGGCCGCCGATGCTCAACTTGCCATTCGTCGGACGGGAGAAGCTAAATGACTCACTCGAGGTCTAATCCGACTCCGAGATCAGTAAATGGAGGTTGTAGGGCAAGACTTGCCCGCGCTGTCTCGTGGCAGTTCTTACATTCATTCAGCAAATATTTATGTGCCACCTTTTTTTTTTTTTTGACCCAGGCGCTGCCTTCCGTGCCAGTGGTGAATGAGACAGATAAACCTTATACATACCCTTGTAGATCTTTCATTTTAGGAAGACAGACAATAAAACAAAGTGTTTTTTTTTTTTAAGTACATGAATACTTTGGTACAAGATGATGAAAACTGAGGTAATAAAAGATAGCAAGGACTCTTAAGAACCAGTCCAGGGATGCAATTTAAATGGAATAGTGGATCATTACTGTAAAATTCAATCCTTCTTATAACCCTTCAGTGGCTTGCATACCTGACCATGGCCGTCATCTTGCATGATTTGGCTTCCTCTCTGGTCTTCTCCACACCCCTTCTCCTTGGTCCTCCAGCTATAGCCACACTAACCTGCTTCCTTCTGTTCCTCACAAACACAAAGGTCTATGACACCTTCCTCTAATTTTTGCACCCCACCCCCACCCCCCTTCTCATACTTGAAGTCTCAGCATACTTGTCACCAAAGAGGACTCCATTGACCTCTACTCAAGTAATTTCCTTAAGTCTCCCATCACCAGACATTTTCATTTTCTTTCTTGCAACTATCATAATCTATCTAAATGAATTTGTTGTCATGTTTAGTGTCTCCTAACCTGAATTAGGACTGAGCGCCCGGAGGGCAGAGATCTTAATCTTGCTTGTGTTTATATTGTAACAACATCTAACATTTTATATGGTTGCATCTGGCACATTTTGACCTTGAAGTATTTTCAGAATGAATGAATGGATGCCATATTGATGACAGCTAAGTGTGGTTGCATACAACTTGAATCTTAACATTGGAAGCCAGAGATGGGTGGATTTCTGTGAGTTTAAGGCCAGCCTGATCTACATAGAGCACTCTAGAGCAGCCAGGACTACATAGTGAGAACCTGGCAAAAACACCAAACAACCAAGAAATGCCTTGTATGTGAGACATTCACAGGCTGAATAAACAGCCAGTGCAAAAAGCCAGAAAGTGAAAAAAGACATTTGAGGGGAAATGGCAAATGTAAATAACCCAAGTTGTGGGTATAGCTCAGTGGTAAAACACCAAGCATGTTCCAGACCCTGGGTTAAATCCCCAGCACATAAATAAATACGTAAGCTGATTACACAGCTGTAATCCTAGCACCTAGGAGGTAGAGGCAGGAAGATTGTCACAAGTTCAAGGACAGCCTGGTCTATAGAACAAGTTCCAGGCCAGCCAGGACTACACAGACCCTGTCTCAAAAAGAAAAAAAAAAGTAACTCAAATCCATGCCGAGAGCAAGAGAAGTGGATAGGAGTTGATGAAAGTGTCTTAGCAAATGAGGTACCAGGGTCACCCCCTTCACGTGTAAGTGGAAACCGGTCAAAGGACACTCTTGGCAAAGAAAACAAGTAGAATAGGGATGATTATAGAGCATGTTAGAGAAATAGCATGGAATCTGGGGTGGCTAAGGAATGTCAAACCTGGAAGTCTAGACTTTCTCTTAGGTGCCAGTGTTACTAGCTCACTTTGGTGACTTGCTGGGGGGCGGGGTCCCACACACACACTTCCTGGAGGCACATCTTTTCTGAGCCCTTCATACACCGTGCCTTTAGTACCCCAGGCCACTCTACCCACAATGTACCATTTCTAGGGCGCTTTGGGAACCAGGCCGATCACTTCTTGGGCTCCCTGGCATTCGCAAAGCTGCTGAACCGCACCTTGGCTGTACCTCCCTGGATTGAGTACCAGCATCACAAGCCTCCTTTCACCAACGTGAGTACTTGTGCTGACTTCGGCCCCTGTCCACCCTTCCCCGGGCTGGCTGATTTGCTTGACTCCAAGGCCTCTGGGTTTTTCTTCCACTCTAGGCTTGTCTTGTTCTCTACCCAGAATTGTCTTCCTTGTAATGTCAACTTTCTCACCCAACACCTGCCATGTGCTGGCACTGTCTGAACTGCATGAGCATTAGCTCATTCTCTCCACAGCTCAGCCTCGAGGAAACCCAGGTTTAGAGGAGTGAAGTAACTTGCCCGAGATTGCACAGCTTCTAGGTGATACTTGAATTCAATCCCAAGGCTGTCTATTTCCGGAGACTGTGTCTTAAAACGGAAGCCTCCATTTCCAGTCCTGATTACCCTACCTTATGTATCCATCCGATTGGTCAGTAATAGGTGATAAGTGCTCTTACAGTTTTAAAAGAGAGACTGAGGCATGGCTTAGTAGTGTGTCCAAGGCTACCAGCCCAGGCAGTCTGCTCCAGTGCTGCCACTTGTCCCATTGAGGGCCTCCCTGGGCATGATCTCGTCGTCGTCGCCATCCTCTGATACTTAGCTTATTCTTTGTGTCTTCCAATGGCCCTCTGTTTCCTTTTGTTCACTGTGCTGCCAGAGACCTGGATGTAGGAACTTAGTATTTAATGAATTGACTTTAAAAGTTTAAGTAGTTAACAAAATTATACTTGGCATGAACAAAACACCATATTTAATTCCAATGCTTTTTCTCTGCGTATATTTTATTTTCTGCTTTGCAGGCATACCTCTTTTTGGAAAGGCTTCCCTATTCCCTGCAGTGCTATGGATTAGACCCAGGTCTTAGGGAAATGTTCTACCACCAAGCTGCACACCTGTCCCTGAACAGCTTATTAACAGAAGCTAAAACCCAGACTGCAACTTAACTTAGCCATTTTCTAATTGTATAGCCTCACTATACACAGAAAGATACTTAACCTTTCTGTATCTCAGTTTCCTCATCTTTACAGTAACCTGTGATGACTGGCTACCTCTCATGATGAGGACTGAATGAGTTATTGATAGTAAGTGCCTTGACCCTGCCTCATGCCACCCTTTTAGAATCAGCTGGGCTCCTCAGTATACAGAACTAGGACACAGGAAGTTCCTCAGCTTTTGGGATCCTCGGGTCTGACTTGTTAGGCTTTGCTGATACATTTAAGCCTTGCTCGTCTGTCTGTCTCGCTGGCTTGTTGCGGCCTAGGCTTTGCTGATACATTTAAGCCTTGCTTGTCTGTCTGTCTCGCTGGCTTGTTGCAGCCTAGCCTTCTCAGCGAATTGTCATACTGAGTCTCCACTTCTTTGACTTCTATGGGTTTCTCAACCTGTCTCAAATGAGCTTCCAGTTCCTAAAGTGACTATTCTCACTGGGTCACCAGCGACCTCAAAATTGCCAAATCAAGGTTCATTTCTCAAGCTGTGTCTTACCTGACCACCCAATGGCTCCTTATCCTATGAGCCTCTCTTTTTCCTAAATTCCCCTCCTCCCCTGGCTTCCAGGACATTGCTTATTCCTTCTGCAGTCCTGACCTCAGCGAAGTACCATTTTTTTGTACCTCAGTCGGGGCTCCTCTCTTCACCCACAATGCTGCTGGTGCATCTCTGTGGCTCAAATGAGTCAAATGAGCAGATCCTTATAAAAGACTGAGTACAGCATCTGGCACTAAGTCAGCACTCAGTGAGTAGTAACAGCTGCTGTTACCATTACCTTGCTTTGTTGTAAGTTCCTATCGACTGGCATGGCATTAACTATTCTTACATCTCCAGTACACCTCCGGTACAGGTTCTACTCTGACCACAGACTTGTGTTTCTGACTTTTAGACACTCAAGTCTGCTTAGTTGTCACAGATATCTCAGATTCCGAAAGCTGGAACTGAACTTGCCATCCTTACCCACAAACCTGTGTCACCGTCTGCAATTCCAGCCTCAGCCTACACCATCTCCATTCCCCCGGGCACCAAGCTGGGACTCTAGATTTGAGCCTGAGTGCCGCTCCTGAATACACACTCAGCCCTCAAAGCCTCATCTGCACCTTCTTTGCCATCTAGACCACTTTGGTTCTCACTTAGACGTATAGGAGGTACATATTAACTGCACGCTTACTACACTGGATATGGTGCTTCATGCCTAAAATTCTGGCTCTTGGGAAGCTGAAGTAGAAAGATTGCTCTGAGCTTAAGTCCAGCCTGGGCTACATGGAGATGTCTCCAAAATTTTTTAAAATACAACTAAGTGAATAAATAATGCATTATTGAACAAACACAAGGATCATTATAGTAGTTTCGTAATTCCCCTCCCTCTTCTGATCTTAAGTAGTCAGTGCATTCTCTTCTCTGTCAGCAGATCAGTTCTTCCAAAACAGTCAAACCTTAGCAGCTGTGATGAAGGCCTGTAAGTCTAGCACTTGGAGGCTGAGGCAGGAAGATTGTAAATTCAAGGCCAGTCGGAACTACATAAAAATACCAGGCTAGCTAGAGATATATAGTGAGGCCCTGTCTCTTAAAAAATTCCTGTCTAGTTTCAGAAATGCTAGTTCCAATTCCCATTCTCCTAAATTTTTAGATTGAGAATACACAATAGCACAGCAAAGGCCCCGAGAAGTCCTGCTGCAGTAGAGAAGCCGGTTTAAAGCAGAACTTCCTAGATCTCTTCAGCTCTGGAACCCTATTGATTGATTGACTGATTAATTTTTCAAGACAGAATTTCACGGTATAGCCCTAGCTGTCCTGGAACTCAGTGTGTAGACCAGGCCAGCCTCAAACTCACAGAGACACCTGTCTCTGCCTCCTGAATGCTAGGATTAAAGGCACGCACTACCACACTTGCAGCTCTGGAACATTTTTACTACAGCTGAACTATTGGGATATGCTTGAGAAACCTTGACCAGTAGAATGGAATCCAAATTTTGTTCCATGGTGTTCTAAGAATATATTTAAATTAAATTTAAATTTCTTTTTCTTCTGTTTGGGGGTTTGGTTTTTGTTTTTGTTTTTTTGTTTTTTTGTTGTTTTTTTTTTTTTTTTTTGAGACAGTCTCATATAGCCCAGGCTGACCTCAAATTTACTATATAGGTGTGGATGACTTTGAATTCCTGCCTCTACCTCCAAAGTGCCAGGATTATAGTTGTACACCACAACTGACTAACAATTTCTTTTGAAAAAACTAAAAAATTATGATGATGAATATAACCATCATCCATGAACCCACTTGATTAGAAGTAGTCCTCATGAACATATTCCTCTCCTTCTTGCCTCATCATTTCTATTTTTTATTTTCCTTTCTTATTTTTATTTTCTGAGACAGAAGTTTATAAAGCCCAGGTTGGCCTCAAACTCTGCTCTTTCGCCACCATCTCCAAGTGGTCAGATTACATTCATGCACCACCATGCAGGCTTTTCTGATTACATGCATGCGTGGCTTTTCTGTTAGGAAAAGAAAGCATGAATTGCAGGTAAATTCAATGAGAAGTTTGCTAACCCGGGTCTCGGCCCTGGAAGCAACTACCCTCATGGCCTTTCTGATTTGACTCCTACTTCTTTCCTGTGCTTCCATTGAGTCACTGAGTGTTGCCATCCACGTTTCCTGTAGAAAGTATCAGAGCCTCTCCAGGGTAAATCCTTCCATAGAAGGAGCACGTGGTATGGACACCAAGTAGTTGTCCCGAAGCAGGCACTTCTACCAGCAGCCATGTACAGAGGTCCATAGAGCTTAGTTTAGTACATTTGTTCCGATGATGAGAGTTTACTTTAAAATTCTGCTCTTATGAAAGAAGTAAAGCCCTTAGCTGCAGCCTACCTTTTCATAACTACTGGGAAGGCTGCCCGTCTTTTGAATGTATGGGCTATTTGGGTTTCCTCTGTCGTGAGATGTTCACCATATCACTTGCCTCTTTCCTTGTAGATCATCAGGCATTTTGAACACCAGAGATGTTGCTGTTTGTTCTTGAGCTGGAAGCTAGCTTCTCTCAGTTTGTCTTTGTCCTAACTGTGGTGTCTTGTGGCTGTTGTAATGGGGATGAAGCCTAATGCCTCATGCATGCTAGGCAGGCACTCTACCACTGAGCTTGATCCGAAGCCCACCACGGGTCTCATCTCACGTAGGCTGGGTCTTTGAGTTTATAGTTTTAGTGATGAGAGTACTATGGAGATCTGTACTCCTCCGTTTTCTCCTTTAGCTCCATGTGTCCTATCAGAAGTACTTCAAGCTGGAGCCCCTCCAAGCCTACCATCGTGTTGTTAGCCTGGAGGACTTCATGGAAAAGCTGGCACCCACCCACTGGCCCCCTGAGAAGCGGGTAGCATACTGCTTTGAGGTGGCAGCCCAGCGAAGTCCTGATAAGAAGACATGTCCCATGAAGGTAGGACCTGTTCTATATCCTCTAGGCCCTTGAGGTGGCAATGTAGGGCAAGAGGGAATTTCGTCTGTTTCTGGCCTTTGTTAGTAGTGTCACCTTTGGCACACTCTTCTCTGAGCTTTGTTTCTACCTGCTCTACCTGGCTCATAAGAGAGTAGGCCATATGTAAGAACATCTGGGAACTAGCTGGGCAGTGGTGGCATATGCCTTTAATCCCAGCACTCGGGAGACAGAGCCAGGCGGATCTCTGTGAGTTCAAGGCCAGCCTGGTCTACAGAGCAAGATCCAGTCACCAAAACTACACAGAGAAACCATGTCTTGAAAAGCAAAAAAAAAAAAAAAAACACCTGGGAACTGAAGTGCTGTCCGTAATAGTAACTACTGCCCACAGAGCAGTCCCACATGCCAGATACTCTGCTGGCAGCTGGATGCATATTCACTCCTTTACTCCTCAGAGTGCTCCGTGAAGAAGGTGCTGATGATGTCCTCGTGGTATAAGGGAGGCATGGCCAGCATGGTATAACTTGGCTTGTTGTACACTCTCTTAACTTGAATGCTTTCCCACTTCTCAGCAGTGAGACTAAGAGCTGTCATGGATAATTAGTAGAAATTTGCATTTCTGGTACTTTGTATGATTACACCCCAATATTTTTTGGTACAAGTGGTAGAAAAGCTATAAATTTTGAAAGCGCCTAGCTTGTATCCCCCTATATATTAGTTGCCCTTATCAGCTGTCTGACCTTGGGCACATGTCTTACCTTCTGTAAGTCTGATTCCATCTTGAAAAGTAACATACTATATTAGCTTAAAGCTCTAGTTCAGTGGTTCTCAACATGTGGGTCACAACCCCTTTGGGGTCGAATGACCCTTTCACGGGGGTCCCTAAGACCATCAGAAAACACAGATACTTATGTTACGATTCATAACAGTAGCAAAATTACATGAAGTAGCAATAAAAATAATTTTGTGCTTAGGGGTCACCACAGCCTGAGGAACTGTATTATAAAGGGTTGCAGCTTTAGGGAGGTTGAGAGCCACTGGTCTAGTTCATAGTTCCAGCTCAAGGTCTTCTTTGCCCCACTACTACAGGGTTAGTGGAACATGACATGGGAACAGAATCCATTCCTTCAAACACAGCTGGAAACCAAAAGAGAAGCAGGAGCACTCCCCTCAGCCCTCAGCCAAGGGGCCATCCCATAAGGACTATTCCCCAGGTGTCACACCATCCATCCCCAGGGCCCTCTCCCTGCAGTTTTCTGGCCTCGCACCCGGTAGCTTCCCTCCTGTTGAGTAAGCTTTCCACCATTCTCTTTTTGCAGGAAGGAAATCCCTTTGGGCCGTTCTGGGATCAGTTTCATGTGAGTTTCAATAAGTCGGAGCTGTTCACAGGCATTTCCTTCAGCGCCTCCTACAAAGAACAGTGGATCCAGAGGTACTTGGAGGGGAAGGCAGTACTGAGTTTAGGGGGGGCTGGGGCTCAGGCATCACACTCCTTTCTGGCCTTGCTGCCTCTACTCCACCCTCTTGTGAGAGACCAAAGGTGCAAGCACTGTGTTCTGTCTGTTGAACTTGGGATCCTATGTGATCTGTTTCCATCTCATCGCCTGACACAGCGGGATGTTGACCTGCCCCAAAGTTGAGCAAGAGTTTCTTGGCTGATAAGGGATGTCATAAAAAGAACATTGTTCAGTCACATGCATGTCGATTTCCTCCTCCAGGCGTGAGAATCACTCCCCTGTTGTCTTCCTTTTCACAAGGTGAAAACTGGAAGCATTGCCTGGAGAACAGCTCAGGTGCAGACTGAGAAGTGATGTCACCCTCATAATTACTAGCTAGGCTTTATTAATTGTGTGCCATAGGCCCTATTAAAAAAATAGGTTAGCAGGACACAGGCACAAGCAGTGAAATATTTATGGAGCGTCTGTCATGTGTGAGACATAGTATTCAGAGACCAAAGGTGTATGTAAAAATGAGGATGGCCCAACCCTGGTCTTTGGAGAACCACAGTCTACACAGTCTAAGATTGATAAACTTAAGTGAGGAATCTGTCATTGGTGCTCTAGCATTGCAGAAAAGAGCCTGGCTTAGATATCAGAATGAGGGCTGCTACAGACCTTGCCTAGCATGTATGAGGCCCTGAGTCTGTCCTTGGAACCACTACAACCACCACAAAACAAGTCAGATTAAAAGCCAGGCATGGTGGTGCATGCCTGTAATCCCAGCACTCAAGAGGCAGATCTCTGAGTTTGAAGCCAGTCTGGTCTACAGAGAGTTTTTCAGAACAGCCAGGGCTACACAGAGAAAGCCTGTCTTGACGGGGGGGGGGGGGAGGGAAGGAAGCAGATTAGTTTAGGAGGTAAAAGGAGTATGTCAATTCAGAGTGGTTGTTTAGTAGGCCTGCAGTAGATGGCAATAGAGACAGGAGTGAACACTGTGAGCTCAGACTCAGCTTTGCCTCTTTCTTGAAAGATTTGAGGGGCTGGAGAGATGGCTCAGCAGTCAAGAACACTGACTGCTCTTCCAGAGGACCTGGGTTCAATTCCCAGCACTGACCATGGCAGCTCACAACTGTCTGTAACTCTAGTTCCAGGGGATCTGACACCCTCACACAGACATGAAATACAGGCAAAATACCAATTCACAGTAAAAAAAAAAAAAGAAAAGAAAGGAAGGAAGGAAGAAAGATTGAAAAACCATTCCAGGTCTCTGGTCCCAGTTTCTACCTTGGTTTAAAGAGCACTAAAGTATTTGCTTCCTAGCATAGAAAGTGTATGTGCGTTCCAGGAAAGGCGCAAAGCTACACAGAGAAACCCTGTCTCGAAAAACCAAAAAAAAAAAAAAAAAAAACCAAAAAAAAAAAAAAAACCAGAAAGTGTATGTGCATACTAAGCAACCAGTCAGCTGTTATTCGCATGCTTTATGTTAATTATGTCTATAAGAAAGTTCATGAAATGGCTATTATTATTAATTTCATCTTGAGAATGTTGGGGGTTAGTCTCAGGACCTGACACATGTTGGTAAACCCTGTACCACTGAACTACCCATTTCTTCAGTCCTCAGTTTTACAGAAGGAAGCTGAGCTCCGTGGAGTTCAATAACCTACCCGAGGTGGTAAGGCTGGCACATAGCCAACTTGGGTCTGTATGTGAGTCTTCAAAATATAAGAGCTAACACATATTTCATGCCTGCTGTATGCCACATGTTCCTAAGCCTTGGAAGGTTTAAACTCGGGATTAATGAGTCTTTGGGATATATTGTCATTTAAGATGTACACATAGAAGAAGCAGAGAAGAGTGAAGTCACTTGTCCAAGGTCATAAAGCTTGAAGTAGCAGAGCTGTACAAGTTTGACTCCAAACCCCCACCCCCTTTTTTTTTTTTTGGTTATTTGAGACGGGACTTCTCTGTGTAGCCCTGGCTGTCCTGGACCTCTCTCTGTAGCCCAGGCTGGCCTCAAAATCACAGAGAGCCGCCTGTCTCTAACTGCTGAGTGCTGGGATTAAAGGCGTGTGCCATCACTGGCTTGGACAGTTCTTTTGGCTTGGGTTGTTTTGTTTTGGGCTTATTTTCCATTTTATGGGGTCTCTGCTATACAAAGTTTAAATCCAGGTTAACGTTTATTATCTTGGAATGAGTGGTTTAGAATATCCACCACAGACTAGATAGTTTTTGGAGTTTTTGTTTGTTTTGTTTTTAATAAAGAAACAAATTGCCAGGCATGGTGGATCATACCTGTAATTCTCACATTCAGAAGGCTGACACAGGACGATCAGGAGTTCAAGGCCAATATGAACTATGTCAGTAAGTTTAAGGCCAGCTTGGGCTACATGAGACCCTGTCTAAAAACAAAATAGCAAAATTAAATTTATTTATGATCTCACTGCCGCAGGAGCACCATTAGTCCTTTAGTAAGTGCATTTGTCCTTCTGCATTTTTATATCCATATACACATCTACATATATTAACAAAATTTGCCGTTTGCTCAGGCTGGTCTTGAACTTGTAAATAGTAATACTAGCAGGGTCAGTTTCAAACATGAAAATATGAGAGTTCAAAAGAGTGACTAGCATTATATGTATGTATATTTATGTTGATGGAGTTTTTTGTTTTTGTGTTTTGTTTGTTTGTTTGTTTTGGGTTTTTGGTTTTGGTTTTGGTTTTCCGAGACAGGGTTTCTCTGTGTAGCTTTGTGCCTTTCCTGGAACTCACTCTGTAGACCAGGCTGGCCTTGAACTCACAAAGATCCGCCTGCCTCTGCCTCCCAAGTGCTGGGATCAAAGGTGTGCGCCACCACTGCCCGGCTGTTTTTCTGTTTTTATTCTGTGTTTTTGAGACAAATTCTGGCCTGCAAAGGCCTGCAGCTCACTCTGTAGACCAGACTGGCCTCTAACTTCTGATGCTCTTCCTGGCTCTGCCTTACTGTGCTGGGATTACACATGTGCACCACCATGCCCAGCTCAATGAGTTTTTTTAAAACCACGGTAAGTGTACAGCTCAGTGACACTGTGCGTCGCAGTGTGCAGCCATTGCAACCCTCCGTCTCCACAGCTTTTTCCTCTTCTTAACCAGAGACTCTACTCAGTAAAGGCTAATTTTCACTCCCCACTTCCTCTGCCCAGTATAAGTGATTCTACTTTCAGTCTGAACTCACCTATTCTAGGAACCTCAGGCATTGGATGGACAGTCATGTAGTATTTGCTGTTTACGTCCAACTTGTTCATATAGCATATTGTCTTCAAGGTTTGTCAGTATTGAAGCATGTGTCCTAATCTCACTCCTGCTAAAGCCGAATGGCACAGTTTGATTAACCATTCATCTGTTTTGTCTCCCACCACATGGATTCAGAGGATCGATCCTTCCAGCTCTGCTGCTTCTCAGTCTGTGGATCTTGTGGTAGAGCTTCAGTTTGACAGATAACATTGTATGTTTATTTGCTCTTGGAAGTTTGTGGACCATCGTGTTAAAATTATCCTCATGTATAAAGAGCAGGTGTCTAAGTGTATGGTGGTAGCTTTCTGTCCTGTGACAAAAGCCTGAGAAAATAAAGAAGGAAAGGTTCATCTTGGCTCATGGTTTCAAGGGTTTCGATCCATTGTCACTTGGTTCTGCTACTTCTGCACTTGTAATTATAGCATGGAGCATGTGATGAAACAAATCAGTTCACATGGTGGACAGGAAGCAGAAAGAGCCAAGGAGAAGGACCAGGAACAAGACAGTACCCTTAAGGGCATTCCCTCTGCGTCCTACTTTCTCTAACTAAACCATGCCTCCTAATAGTCCATTCAACTATGAGTCCGTTGGGAATTAATCCATTGATAAGGTTGGCGATCCCATGTTCTAGTCACCTCTGGGCAGTGCTGCACTGGGACCAAAACTTCAGTACATGAGCCTTTGAAAGATTGCCTATCCAAACTGTAGTACATTGCTGGTCTTTCTCCCAAGCTGCAGCCTCTCTGAGAAGACATAGAGGTCATATGTTATTGGCAGGGCCTATGTGGCTAAACCTATGAAGACCTGAAGACTAACCCAGACCTGCCATGCAAAGAGCAGGAAGGAAAGTGTCTTTCATAGCACGGACTTTGATGGCAAGACCCTGCCTTGTTTGTGTCTCTGTGTCCTCTGTACTCAGCCTGGCATCATCTACTGGTCCCGTAAATGTATGTTGAGCCTAGAGGAACTCAGCAGCCAGGGTGTGATGGTGGTATACCCCTGAAGTTCACCAGGTCCAGCAGCAGGAAGCTACTAGCCTTCTTCTGCAATAGTGGCCAGGTTAAGACTGACCTAGAGGGAATGGTCAGGTTGGCTGGTGGAGTTGGTCAGATTTTCTTTGCAACCTAGACCCTCCTCCCACTCTCTTTCTGATCAGTTCTTCAGACAGCACTGAAGGAGAGTGAGCAGCTGAGTCTTGACCTGTTGTTGCCTGTTAAGCCACAGCTGATGTGGTCCCACTGAGACAGCTTTGTGCTGGCCCAGGTCCAGGGCACAGGGATAGACATTCCAAAACTGAAATTCAGCAAGGGTCAGTTCCAAGCTCTTCCCAAGAGAGCAGGAAGGGCATGAATCCCAGTTTATCCTAGTGACTCACCACCCATCAGATCAGAAAACCTCTTCCTTTTGGAGGTCCCCGAGGTGATGTCTGAAAACAGCTTAGCCTAGGGCCTAACCCATAGTAGAGTGCTCAAGCAGTATTAGTTTCTTCCTCCTCTACCCACTGCCATCAGCATGCCCTGGTATTCTTATAAGGCCCCTGATCCCTCACATTCAATTCTAAAAATATTTATGGCACCTGCTCCCTGTGCTAGGGGCTGCAGCTCAGAGAAGGAAGCCTCGTTCCCTCTGAGGAGGTGCTCCTGGACTGGGTAGAAGATGAGAGTACAACTCAGGAGTCAAGAACACGGCCAGTAGGACTGCTTAAGAGCACTGGCTGAGCCAGGCATGATGGCTCCCAGCACTGGGGAGGCTCAGGCAGGAGGATCTCTGTGAGTTCAAAGCCAGTCTACATAGTGAGTTCCAGGACAACTGGAGCTGCACAAGGGGGGCTGTCTAAAACGGAAGCACGTGGCTGCTCTTGCAGAGAACCCAGCTTCAGTTCCCAGCCCCCATATCAGGCAGCTCACAACTGCCTATCTAACTCTAGTTTCAGGAGATCTGGTACCTCCTTCTGTCTTTCACAGGCACATGCATACACATGACACATATACATACACCACATGCATCTTTAAAATTCACAAAACAAAAACAGTGAGGCAGACTGCCTGAATGCAAACCCTGCTCCACCAGTTCCCACCCTGTGACTTTGCATGTCATTCAGCCTCTCTGTGTCTAGTTTCTTTATCAGTAAGATAATAGTGGGCACACTTCCCTCACAAGGCTCTTGTGGGAATTAAGTGAGTTAATATTGCAAGTAAAGCAATTGCTTCTCACATAATATGACTCAGTACATTATTGCCATGCATTATACGTATAAACAGAATCAACCACACATCGTACAGAGCCAGGCTGTGGAGGGACACTTGCTGCTTCCACAATGTAGGCCTCTGACCGGTATCTGGGGAAATCATGGTAAAGAGACTGCTAGGGCCGCTGTCTTTAATGCTTTCCAGTTCTGACAGCAGAAACGATGGCTGTTGGGCATGTCAGCATGCAGAGGACAAGGAGTTGAGGCCTGTGAGAAGGGACCCATCTAGAGAGTTGGAAGCCATTTGCTGAACAGTGTTTGGGTCAGTGTGAAGAATGGGTGCCAGTTGCATTGCAGTTCTGTGGTGTGAGTGGAGGGTGAGACAGCCTCACTGGCTGACAGAGGATTTACTCATGCAAACTGGAAATTTTCAAGAGATGTCATCATGACCCTGTGATCTCCATGATCAACATGATCCAATCACCAAACATAAAGTTAAATTTTTTAAAAGTTGAACTAGGTTATATGCAACATGACGATGATGCATAGAATTTTATAAGACCTTTCTGTGTACCAAGCACTGCTCTAAATGTTTTATATAAACTAATCCACTTAATCCTCTCAATAGCCCTGTAAATGGGTATATTAATTAGCTTGATTGTGCTAATCATTGCATACAAAACATCATGTTGTATACCTTAAATATGTAGTTGTGTTTTTTTAATAGCATTGTGAGGTAGGACTATTCTCAGCTCTGTTATTCAGACAAGGAAGTTAAGGCATGGATGGATGGATGGATCAATGATGGATAGACTCATACATGAAAACTGTCTTCAGGGAGGGAGAAGAAAAGAAGGGAAAGAGGTGGTGACGTAGTGCTTTTATTTATTTTTAATTTACTCTGGTGTGTGTGTGTGTGTGTGTGTGTGTCAGAGGACAGCTAATAGGAGTTGGTTCTCTCCTGCCTTCAGTGTGGATTCCAGGGAACCAACTGAGGTCCTCAGGTTTGCTAACAAATGCCTTCACCCTCTGAGCCATCTCGCCAGCCCTAGACATGTATGTTTTTTAAACTCTGAAGCAAAATACAATATTAGTGTCTCTTGATGCTCTGTATTTATTTTAGGGTTTACAATATTCCATGATGTTTTACATTTCTTTTTGTTTTACTTTCATTACATTTATTCTTTTGTTTGGAAAGGCAGCACACAGAGGACAAATTACTGGAGTCAGTTCTGTGCTTCTATCATGTGGGCCCGGGACTTGAACTGAGCTCATATGGTTTGGTTGGTAGGGACCTTTATCCCATGGGTCATTTCGCCAGTCCTTTCATAATTTTTGTTTGTAAAAATTTTTAGGTGGTTGTAGATCCACATGCAGTTGTGATGAACAGTACAGAAAGATCTCATCATATACCCTTGACTCAGTATCCTAGCCAGGATTTTGACAATGATGTAATCCTATCTGGTTCAAATAGTCTTAAAAAATTATACACAACTCTGTGTGTGTGTGCGTGTGTGCGTGTGTGCGTGTGTGTGTGTGTGTGTGTGTGTGTGTGTGTGTGTGTGTGTGTTCTGTGTAATTAGTGTGGGTTTATATATCCAGCACACAGTTAAGATACTGAGTGGTTCTTTGAATGTAAATATCTTTCTATTGCAAGCTTATTGCTGCACCTGCCTTCCTAAACACACACCATTCCTAACTCGAGCAGCAATTGGCCTCTTCTCCCTTTGCCCTTTCAAAGTATGCAAACGGAGTCATATGTTTGTACCCTGTTGGGATTGGCTTTTTTCACTTAGAATAATCCCCTTGAGAGCCTTAGCCTGTGTTGATAGCCCATGCTTTTTATAGCAGTGGCAGTTCATAGTGTGGATGTGCTGTTGTTTCTTCCTGGGTTGTTTCCAGTTTTGGGCAGTTGGAGTAAAGCTGCTGTGAACATTAGTGTACATGTTTGTGTGTGAATTACGAGCTTTCATTTCCCCAGATGAATGCCCATAAGTGCTGTCACTGGGTCATATTATAATTGCATGTCTGATTTCATGAGAAACTAACTACAAATGTTTCCAGAGTCGCTGCACTTGGTTGTAATATCTAGAAGGGAAGATGTTTCAGGGGGAGACGAATGCAGAAGTCTAGAGTCAGAAAGTGCATTGCAAATTCATGGGCAGCAGAGTGCTTTATGTTGCTTTACTGGAGTCTGGGTTGAGCTGAGAAGGAAACACAGGTTTATTACTCTTTGGCTTACTGGAGCCTGGCCTAACAGAAGAGAAGATGTGGAAAAATTGCAGAAAAGATTTTGTGTGCTATGTTTATCTGCAGACCTTTGGTATTCCACATAAGGGTAGGGACCATGCTGGTCTCATTCTTCCTGGGTCCTAACATAGTCAGTATTTGCTAAGTGCTGAATGACTGGCCTGATCCCATGTGTACAGTCCTTACGAGTGGGACCAACATTGTCTGTGTAAGCAGCTTCATGTCTCAGTCCCGCCATGTGGGTAAAAGGGCAAGGCTTGGTCCAGACACCCCACCCTGGAATGAATTACCACACCACAGATTGGAAGCCAGCATGATATAAAATGTTGGAATGCTCTACTGTAAATTTTTAATTGTTAAGCAAGCAAAGAAGGTTGTAAATTCTGTGCAGCAGGAACAGTATTGCATATTGTGCCTGCTGTCTCCACCAAGGTTTCTTATCAGCCCGTTGAGATTTCACAACCTTTGCGTCTCTTGCATGTTATAAGGGCCTCTCCACAGGGTCTCTGGGTCATGGTGCAATGCCATCCTTTTTCCCGCGGGGGTAGCAGCAGGGCTCTCTGTGTGTTCTGTCTGACTTCCCCTTGTCCATTTTATGCCTAGATTTTCTCCAAAGGAACACCCAGTGCTTGCACTGCCAGGGGCCCCAGCCCAGTTCCCTGTCCTGGAGGAGCACAGGGCCCTCCAGAAGTACATGGTGTGGTCAGACGAGATGGTGAAGACCGGAGAGGCCCAGATCAGCGCCCACCTCATCAGGCCCTATGTGGGCATTCATCTGCGCATTGGCTCTGACTGGGTAACTTCCTCTGCTCTTTCTGACTGACATTTGTCTAAGCAGAGCCCAGGCCTGTAGTGATTGGTGGAAAGTCTCAGCCTGGAACAAAGGCAGCTAACTCCACCAAGTCTGTATCGTATCTCATGGTGTTGCTACTACAGCACATATCAGAAGTATGTATCTAGAGCACCTGCTGGAAAGCTAGCATTTAACAGCTACCATTTGTACCCTTGTGTTTGCAGATGGGTAAAATGAGGCATTAAGTCAGATCCCAAACTAGGCAGAAAGCTAGAGAAAGGCCCTTGGCCTAGGAGTCCTCTGTCCCACTTTAGTTAGCCAGTAGATGGCTGTTGGAAATGAAATGTGGCTGGGTGGTGGTGGTGCACGCCTTTATTCCCAGCACTCAGGGAGGCAGAGGCAAGAGGATCTCTGTGAGTTTGAGGCTGGTATACAGAGCTAGTTCAAGACAGCCAGGGCTACACAGAAAAACCCTGTCTCAAACCACTCCCCTGCCCCCCCAAAAAGAAAAGAAAAGAAAAAGAGAGTGAATTGTGGAGCCTGGTGATGGTGGTGCACATCTTTAATCCCAGAACTCAGGGACAGAGGCAGCAGATCTCTGAATTTGAAGCTGTCGTGGTCTACAGAGCAAATTCCAGGACAGCCAGGGCTACACAGAAAAACCCTGTCTTAGGAACAACAGAAAAGAAAGAAGGAAGAAAGGAAAGAGAGAATGAGAGAGCGAACTGTGGCAACCACATGGGTCTCCTCAAAAGTTAGGGTATTTTTAATCCTTCCAGAATTTGGAATCTGTGTAAATGTGTTAAAACCTCATCAGATTATCATTTATTCAAAACCTCAGAACCAGTACAAACAGTCTCTTTCATTTATCTAGGGAGATAAATAGATGTGTTATGAGATGCACATAATTAAAGAGGGAAAGGTTCTGAAACAAAAATTAGGTTAAGTTCATTAATAGAACTGGAAGTATGGCTGAGTGGTAGAGCATTTGACTAGTAATCTCACAGTTAATCTCTACACTCTCTCTGGCCCCTCTATAAGGAAAAGAATTCAAGGACCAGGCTCAGAATATTCTGTGAGTGATCTGAGCCATGCACATGTTCATATATGTGTAAGGAATAGCTACTATCTGTATTTTCCTGGAACATAGAAAGATAAAAGATGCTTAAGACTGGGGATGTAGTTTAGTGGTAGAGCATTTGCCTAGTATTCACAAGCCCTGGGTTCCATCCCAGCACTGCCAAAAAAACATGAGTGTAAATGGACACTTCTTTTCCTGACCACCTGTTCCCAAATACCCAGTAGCCACTTCCCAAATTACCACACAGAGACTTAATTATAAATGCTCAATTAATAGCTCAGGCTTATTACTAGCTAATTCTTACAATTAGCCCATAATTCTATTTATCCTTTGCCACATGGTGGTACTTTTATTAGCATGGCATGTTCATCCATGCTCCCTCTGCCTCTGGCTGTCAACTCTTCACTCCACCCTTCTCCTTCCCATCATCCTTTGGTCACCCCACCTATACTTACTGCCTGACTACTAGCCAATTGGCATTTTGTTAGACCAATTTGAGTAACAAATCTTGACAATGTACAAGAGGATTATTGCACAGCATTTCCCCCTTTTTGTCTAATTTAAAAAAAAAAGGTTTTAACCTTAACATAGTAAGATTATGTACAACAAAAGCAGTTGTCAAGTAAGAATTACAATTATAATATCTAGTCTACTTGTATTTGGCAAAATTAGAGAAAATACTCTATTATCAGTCTTATGTGGATAATTTGGAGAGATCATCAAGCAGATGGGTTGATGTGGAGTTGGAGAAGAAGAACCACTCCTCCCAAGCAGTTCCAAGCTGTAGTACACTGCAGTGAAGCTGGCAGTAGATTTGTGACATTCAAAACCACAGACTACACAACAGCTACTAAATCAGATCAACTGTGAATTGGAATGCAAAACTAGAGAATGCTGCCCAAAATCCACCATATTCTAAAAGCCAGTCTGTTTTGCAGCAGTTTTTAATGTCTTCCACAACTTCTCAAAGTTATTTCAGCTGTCTCGCACATAACCAAGAAGCATGCATGTATCCCAGTAATTCAGATTCAGCTTCAGAGCTACTTCCGAACGTCAGGAGTTATAGAACTCCTCAGATCTCTGTTTCTAATACACATAATAGGACCGTTGTGGCCTCACAGTCTTCAGTAGAAAGAGTCACGTGCACAAATGTTAAAAGAGCCCAACAACCAAACCACAAACTGCAAATAATGTCTTCAGGAGTTCCACAGAATGTCTGGATGAACTCACCAATGAGGAATTTTACCCCTTCTCATACAGAGCCAACCATATCCCATAAACCTGATGGAGGGACTAATATGCCTTATATGCATGCACTTCACAGTCAGCTTGTCATATCAGGTCCCTATTCTGTACAACTACAAATGACTCCTTCAAATTCTGTAAGAGTTCCTATAACTTACCAAGGAAATCAGGGACTTCACCACCCAATACCAGATCGGCTGGTTAACTGGACACAGTGCACATCCAATGAACTCACTTACCCAGATTACAGGCCACCTCCAAAGCAGTATCCTTATTTACCACAAAGCTTTGTGTAAGACCCTTCTGTTCAGAAACAAAACTCTGCGCCATCTACAAAATTACAAGTTAAAAATAATTGGCTTCCACCTTCTACACAGACCTTACAGTCAAAGCATCCTGTACTGTGTCGTCAGAGCAGTATGCTGCAGCAGCCAGCAAAAGACTCCCTGCTCACCTCACAGCTGTGCCTGTGGAAGCCAACATGTGCAAAATTCTCAGCTTGTTTCTAGACACTTGCCTCTGGAAGTTGCTCAGAGTTCAGAAATGTGCTCCTCTGAAAAAAAGAAAGCGGTGGCAGAACACTAATGAAAATGTCAACACCTTTGGAAAATTTTGTGAGTTGAAAATAAATACAAAACAGTCTTACAATGACTCTGTTAGCTCTTCTGGGGGTGGTGTACACTCTTGTTCAAAATAATCAAGAGAAAAGAAAGTATTCTTGTAATCCAAGTACAAATCAAATACTAGACACAAATGCCATAAAAGAAAAGCTATTGAGGAATATTAAATCACTAGTAGAAATCAAAAAGTTTTCAGAACTTGCAAGAAAAATTAAAATTAATAAAGGTCTTTTTTAGCCGGGCAGTGATGGCGCACGCCTTTAATCCCAGCACTCGGGAGGCAGAGGCAGGCGGATCTCTGTGAGTTCGAGGCCAGCCTGGGCTACCAAGTGAGTCCCAGGAAAGGCGCAAAGCTACACAGAGAAACCCTGTCTCGAAAAACCAAAAAAAAAAAATAAATAAAGGTCTTTTTTGATGGCAGCTGGTTGTAGTAAAACAGCGAATACCTCTTACACTGAACCAACTCAGCATTCTGAATTTCCAGCAAAAGAAAAGTCTGCTAAAAGTGACAGTCACTGCTCCAGGGAATTGCTAGCAACATGTCTTTCTCTTTGGAAAAAACAACCTCCAAAAACCACAGAAGAAAATGTTCCAAAACCTTTAGAAGAAAAACTGTGTCCTGCATCAAGAACCAGCACAACAGCAGTTGGCAGTTCAAATCCCACGGATGAAGTTCATGTTAAGAATTTTTGTTCAGGTGTTAGAAATTCTCAGAAAATGACCAGCTCGTCACAGTCCTGTCCATTCTCACACCGAGTTACGAGTTTTCAGATGTAGTTGTTGTAAAAGGAACAGAGCTTCACATTGCTGTGGTGTCTCCTCAGTTCTTTTGAATATCAATACCTTACCTGGGAAAAGAGCACCTGAAATTTTACCTGAAACTGTGTATCCAGTTGTTAAGGAAGGCAGTGTTTGTACCTTACAAAACCAGCAGCCAGAAAATACAACAGTAACTGCGGCTTTACCCTTTGGTGTAGCAAGTCCCACTATATCAGCCGAGCTTTCCCTGCCTGTGCTTAAGGAAAAGAGCACAGACCAACACAGGGTAATCTAGACTCACTCTCCCCCGGGCACTGAAGCTTTGCCTAACCCTAGGGACAGCACCATTGTGATTGGGCCCACGGTGCAGACTGAAAGTATCTGTTCTCTTGCAGAAGGTGATGTATCTTAGAATTCCCAGGTAACAGAGATAGTCAACTCAGTACAAAATGAGCCCCAGAAACCTTCACCTAATCAGCAGGTAATTAGTATTCAACAAGAAGAACAAGTAGATAACTCCACTGAAAATAAAGACTTTGGTTTTCAGAAAGATAAGTGTGTGCAGTGTACAGATGTTCCTCATGAAGTCACGGAGCAGCCAGAGCCGCTGCAGCCTTTAGAGTCAACATCTCGTGAGTATGTTGAAGCAGCAGAAATTCTAGAGGAAGGCAGTAAGGAGAATAGTGGTGGAAAGAAACAACTAAAGATGATGGGAAGGAGAAGGGCAGAGTCAGGAGATGCCAGCCAGAGGCAGAGGGAGCAGGAAATGAAGGTGCCATGCTAATAAAGGTACCGCCACATGGCAGAGTGTAAATAAGGAATATGGATTAATTTAAAATGTAAGAGCTAGTTAGTAATAAGCCTGAACTATTGGTTGAGCATTTATAATTAATATAAGCCTCTGTGTTTATTTGGGACTGGGCAGCCAGGACAGAAAACATCTGACTGTGTGTGTGTGTGTGTGTGTGTGTGTGTGTGTGTGTGTGTGTGTGTGTGTGTGTGTGTTTATGAAGCTAACCTAAACCAATACCAAACAGATAAAATTTCTTAATTGATAAGCATAGGAGCACAGATCTGAAGTAAAATATTAACAAGCAAAGTCTATCCCAGGAATTAAATTCATTGTTCTAATACCCAAAGAAGAAAAATCATGTAGTCATCTCATTAGAGGGTAAGAAAGAGCTTGATAAAAAGTCAAGTGCATGAGAAAAACTCATAACCAGCCAGAAATAGCCTGGACCCACCTTAGCCAGATAAAGCCTATCTCTCTGGAACCATAGCAAACATGTGCCTCAGGGGAGTGATCAGAAGTCCCACCTCATCAGGAATCAGATAAGCCTCCCCTTATCGGCAGTGCTGAGCTCCACTGAAGTCCCAGATAACAATGAGAGCAGAAAAATGCTTTTCAAACCCTGCTCAGAAATAACCAGTGTTGCTGTCTTCAAATGTCCCCCATTCCAGGGTCCCGTGTAGCCCAGGTTGGCCTCAAACTCACTGTATAGCCAAGGCTTGCCTTAACTTCTTGATCCTGCCTCCTCCACCTCCCAAGTGCTGGGATTACACAGCCTCGCCACTCCCGGGTTTTCCCTTAATGCTATTAATATATATGTATGGGGGGGAGGGAGTGTAGCTCAGTGGTAGAACATGGTGCTTAGCATGCACAAAGCCCTGGGTTCAGTATACACATACACACGTGCGTGCTCTGCGTATGTGTCCCAGCTAGACTCCTCCTGTGTAGTCCTTTTACCCATTTCTGTGTTGGGGTCCAAACAGCTGCTTCTCTGACTTTTCACTGCCGACCTCTCCCTGTAGAAGAACGCCTGCACCATGCTGAAGGACGGGACTGCAGGGCCTCACTTCATGGCCTCCCCTCAGTGTGTGGGCTACAGCCGCAGCACAGCGACCCCCCTCACCATGACCATGTGCCTCCCCGACCTTAAGGAAATCCAGAGGGCTGTGAAGCTTTGGGTGAGGGCACTGGATGCCAGGTCAGTCTACATCGCCACAGATTCTGAGAGCTATGTACCAGAGATCCAGCAGCTCTTCAAAGAGAAGGTATGTCTGGCCTGGAGGGAGCAGGGCGGGGAGGGAATAAACAAGGGTCTGCTCGTCCACAGCTCTAATACCTGTTTCATGCTCCCCCACCAGCCCTTTGCCCGGCTGCACACTCCTCTCTGATTCTTAACCTTCTTCTGTCCACAACTCAAACATCTCTGAGTTCTTTCCAGTGTTCATTCCACTCCAGAAGCTCCTGCATCCCTCCTGGAGCCTCCCATGGCCCTTTCTTTCCTTGAGACACTTCTAGACCACCCAAGACTAGCATAGATCCACTCTTCTGTTCTCTGAGGGTTATCCTAGTGCTCTGACCTCTGGAGACTATCACCTGCCTCATCACGGTGTCTAAGACAGTGCCTGACACATGGTGCAGATGTTTTGTTGAATAAGGACACAGTGGACTCTGAGAAGGAATACATAATTGCTGAGAGGTTAAGAGCATATACTCTGTTTTGGTTTGGTTTTATTTTTGAGGCAGGGTCAGGTCTCATGTAACCTAGACTGGCTAAAAAAAAAAAAAATGTGATATGTAGCTGAGGATGACCTCGAACTCCTGATCTTCTTGCCTCCACATTTAAGTGCTGGGTTACAGGCCTGCACCATCATACCTGGCTTAAGAAATATCCTCTGGAGACTTGAATTCTACTCACTGTGCAGCTTTGCAAAAGTTACCTGAGCTCTCTGTGCTTCTGTTTCCTCATCGATAGAGTGGGACCAGATAGCACCTGTCTCTGAGAGCATTTGTAAAGGTCTGTCCTTGCAAAGAAATGGTGACGCTCCCACTCCAAAACAATGCTCAGTAAGTTAGCCCTTGTTAGCTAATGCTCAGTAAGTTAGCCCTTGTTAGCTAATGCTCAGTAAGTTAG